GTAATATGACAGGTCCTTGGGCTTTATGGGACGATTGTTCAGGGTGACTCCAAATCGCACTCCAAACTGTATAACCATAAAATTGGTCAAAATTGCCAATCACTAGGGAGCTGAAGGATCACCGTTCCCATGATTCCTCGAGTGCGGGCCGGTGCACTTGGGAGGATTGTAGACAATAAAATGAAATAAGGTGCTGATTTCAGGCTTGTGTCCTTCTTTTGATATGCCTGGACAGATCTGGAATTTCCATATTTAGCCAGGTCTGAGATTTCCATACCTGGCCGTGGATATCAGACTATATTTGGCAGATATACCATATCAAGTTATATGAGGCGAATTTTCGATATGGGTGCCATATCTGAAATCTTCAGATCTGGCCAGATATAATTCTTTTGTAAGGGGCGTACTGGGACCACTCCTTTTTCTAATCTACATTAATAATCTCCCTCCCTGTGTCTGTTCCACTATCCGCCTTTTTGCCGATGACTGCGTAATTTATCGCACAATCACGAATACTGACGATCATTCATCCCTGCAAACCGAATTATCATACATTGCTCATTTATGTGACAAGTGGCAGATGTCCCTGAACTGAGATGAATGCAAAGTGCTAACCTTTTCTCGTATTTTATTCTATCCTCTTACACCTACAATATTAACGACACAGTATTCAGTAGTGCTTTATCCTACAAAGATATTGGTCTTCATATAACAAGCGATTTAACATGGGTCACTCATATTTATCACATAATCACTAAGGCGAATAGCGCACTGGGTTTTCTACGAAGGAGCTTAAGACTCGCCCCCCTTTAAAGTGAAAGAGATCGCGTACCTAAATTTAGTCCACTCAAGGCTAGAGTACGCTGCATCCGTATAATCCCCATGGCAAAACTACCTCAGACGAGAACTAGAAAGTGTGGAAAATAGAGGTCTGAGATTTATTTTTTCTGGTTATTCTTTTTACACTAGTGTTTCTGGTTTGCGAGAGCGAGCGAATCTTCCTGAGCTCGCTTTAAGGTGGAAGATATCTCGATTGACTCAGCTTTACAAGCTCTAACACCTCAGCCCTACGGTTAGAAAAAGTTTACTCCCACGTCCCATTTCGTTTTTCCCACGACTAGACAACAGCTGTAAAATAGAGCCCATATTTGCCTCCACCGCCTCCTACACCAATTCGTTTCTCCTTTTGACAATATTAGAATGGAATGCTTTACCTGATAACATAGTTACAACTGACAAGGGGGACGTATTTAAAAAAGCTACTAGGTGAACACTTAGATCCCTGTGTAAACGATGCTGAGTCTTAGCATGTTAATAACCTGTATTTAATTTTTTTTTTATTTTTTAGCATTTATTTGTCTTTTTGTTATCGCTGCTCACGGGTTTGTATTACGGTATGTTAATATATTGAAATATCTAGTTTTCCATTCCTTGTGTCGCTGCTCACGAGTTTGTGTTACTGTTTCTATATTGAACTTTTTGTTTCCCATCCCTTGTGTAATGCCCTGTAATGGGGCCTTTAAGGTATTATGAAATAAATAAATAAAATAAATGGAAGTTGTCGTTTGCCGTTTTTCTCCGTCCCTTGTCCCTTTCTCATATTCAGATCCCTTAAAGGGGCACTGAAGTCCTTTTTGAGAATGGTCGTTTTCGATCTTATATTGTTTAAAAGGTATTAATTCGCGCATATACCAAGTACTATATAACAAAACCGCCTATTCATCTCAGGGCAATAGAAAAACATGGGGACTCTTTTTTCTCGCGGACTACATTGTGTGGACCAATCAAAGACCTACAATACGCCCGGATTCCGAATAATTATAACTCGTTTTGAAGAGAGTTCGGTAGGAAAACATCCGGATAACCACTTTACTCGGAAGAAACTTATTCCCAAAATGGACGTGTCGCGATCTTTGAACACGCTTTTAACCAGGAAATAAGCTACGCACGATTCTAATTTCGGGATTTTTGAGATACTTAGAGCGTCTAGATTGAGTTGTCACCACAAAAGGACGATCTCAGAATCAGCTTCAGTGCCCCTTTAACAACACGCTCGTTCTTTACGTATCCATCTATAGTTTACTGTCCTTCAATACCCAGGTGCCTTTAATCGTTAGCGCAGCACTTAGTGTGCAGGGAATGATTTCACGATTGTGTCGGCAGTTTTCTACGCCAACTTACATGCTACACTTGTTTAAGACATTAGTGAGGTCAAGATTAGAATTTCACTTTATCATTTGGATTTTCTTAACTTTATCACCAGCTGTTGCAATTAAAAATATACAAAATCGAAGGACTAGAATTGTGTACGACCGTTATATTGGAAGACAATATTTTTACCACCATGAAACCTTATACTTGTTCAATTTTCGTCGCACAAGCTTGCGGTGTGGAGACAATACAGACAATTTATATTCATTGACGAAGTTGTACACGGTTGAAGTGAATTCAATTGATTTAGTGCGTTTTTTAGACTTTCATGTCCCTTCAAGGGCCTGCAGGAATGTGCCAACTTTCTACCCATCTTATATATGTCTTCTGTGTCTCCTTCATCGAGAATTAAGGCCCATTTTGATATTTTTCTTTGTTAATTCTTACCAGTTTATGCTTCATGTGCGTATGTGGATGTTTTCGAACTACCCATTGTAAGGCCGGTTTCGTGTAGCTTTTTCACTTTCTTTTTCTATTGTTTATATTCTTATTGTAACATCTATTTTAATGTTTGATGTAGTGCGGTGTTTTAGTTTGCTTTGTGTGCACCACATTATGGACACTAATGTTGTTTGTGGGAACGTAAAAATAAAGATTTATCAATATTTTAATATTAATGTTATTATTAACAACATTATTAATGATATTACCATTATTATTATTGTTTTATTAAAAGACAAAACAAGAAGGAGCAATCTCAATGGCAAGGAGTAGAGTCTACCAATTGCCACCGAGATTACATTATATTACTAGGGCAAAAGAAAGAACAACCCCTTTGCAGGTTATCCTTAATAATGAAAGACCAACAAGGACTACACTCACTGACAGCTTAAGAAACCCAGACGTGCGTGGTTCGAATGCCTAATTCTATTATCCCTGGCAGCCAATGAGATTCCGATTTTTGCCGATAGGGCGCCGAAAGACGAGGCATTACGCGAGGAGAGCGAACAGAAAAAGCAACACCCTATTTAGGCTATCGGTAACTATATTTACCGAAAGTTGAGGAAACGTCGGGCGGGATATGTGCAGAGCGAAAGTTCGTCTGCTCCTTGCACACGGGTTGCGATGGTGTCAGAACGTCAAACTTTTATTGGCTAATAGAAACGAAATAGCGGGTAGAACTCTAGGCATCTAGCATTGAGGTCTACTCACTATACTTCCAGTCGAAACCGATCAGAACTCGGCGTCGTTCTGACGTCGACGCAATCCCTGCAAAAGAAGCAGACGGGTATTCCAAAAAGACCTTCCGCTGTAAAACGAACCGGAAAAATCGGCGCCTGCAGTAGAGGGCTCACCCGTTTACAGAATGTGCAGAGCAGGGCAATTTTAACGTATTCAAGACGTATTTTTGTTTCTACAAAAAAGAAAAAGAAAGCAAATAAACCTTCGAAAGTTAATGTTGACCGCGTTTGCGGACGACCAAGTTAGCGACGCTGTTTGATTGTGGCGCCATCTACCGATAGACGCAGCGAGCAGACGGCGCTTTCCGTTGTCTGATCGCTGCGTCTATCAGGAGAGGGCGCCACATGTCGCCGACTCGGTCGTCTATCAAAGCGGCCGACCTAGACTTCGGCAAGTTTTTTTTCTCTAATCTATTCCAGGTACAGTACCACGCGTTCAAATATCACGCGACAAAAATGACCTTCTCAGTGCACTTCGGTGAAGTTTTGTCCTTTTTGCGCGCAGGCGCCGATATTTCCGGCTTGTTTTACAGGCTAATATCCGATTGGGACACCTTATAGTATGATCGCGCTTCTACAGAGAACTTCGAGTGCATCGCAGGACGGCGTAGATGCAGCAGCTTTGAGAGTGTGGACAAATGGTTTCATTCTAGAGCCAGCATCATTGATGTAGGCGTTACAGGAGAAAAAAAGTAACAAAATAGGTTACTCGTTAGCTATAAATAAAATAAAAGCGTTACCGAACTACGTTACCTCAAAATACAACGAATGCGTCACAATTATCGGTAAAAAGTACCGCACGTTATTCTTGCTGTAGTTATTATTTACAAGTTAAAACGCTGTAGCGTTTTAACGTTACATAAGCGCAATATTTAAAGAAACCTTATGTACATACAGAAACAAATCATATTTATTGTATCTTTTTTCAACGGAAACTCTTGGAAACCCACAAGGAAAAACGCGAAAAACGCATACCGTAAAATTCCGAGAGATGCCCCACTCCCGAAAGATAGCCCACCCCTATTTTTGACTTGATTTTCTAATTTTTTTTTTAAACACCGAAAGATACTTCCAGATTCCTAATAATAGTAGTACTGGGGTCAATGATGACCTCGGCGTAAATGCGTATAGTTAGCTATGGCGGAATATAAGCGGACGTTGCTAGCTGGGAAGTACAGTTATCTTGCTTCGTTGCCCCTCGCCACCATAACAAGCTTGAAGGGAACATGACCTAAAAATAGTAATGTTTTAAAATTTTCTTCATTGTACACCGAAAGTTAGGCCACTCCATATTTTCACCTGATTTGCTCTTGATGTTAGGTGGGTTATCTCTCGGGATTTTACGGTAATATCAAATGATTTGGCGGCTAAGAACACGAAAAAGGTATTTCTTTTAATGATGGGGAAGAAGATGTAACGTAACGAGCCTACCCGTTACTCGAAATAAGTAACATAAGTAAGTTATTTGTTTCTGTATTGAAAACGTAACGAGCACGTTACTGAGTTACCAAAAAAAAAAGAAAGGTACCCGTTAGCGGTAGCACGGTTTCTTGCAACGCGTTACCACCATCACTGACCAGCAGCCACGTCAACGAACGGTATACTGACCGGCGAGTTGACGTTCTACTTTCTCCGGAAGCAGGAGACAGCGTTGAAGTAGCACTTCCAGTACATCTTTCCCTCTCCCCTGCGCTGCAGCTCCATCTGCGAGCTGAAGCCTCCGTCGGCGTCGTTCTTGTAGGCCTTGAACAAGGGCTGCATCAGCTTGCTCAGCAGCATGGTGGACCGCTTGGCTGACGCCGTCTGCATCGGCACAACAGAGAGCAGGTCTCGTGAGCTCGCTGCAGAGGTCCGCCGTCACGATACATGCGGAGAACTGATTACAAATCTATTCAAATACAACATATCTCTCTCTCTTTCTCTCTATCTCTATCTTTCTTTATACTGAATGTCTCCGAAGAAAAGTGTATTTTTCATCGAACCATGAAACTAACTGTCGCAGAAGTCTCGGCCGAAATGTAGCACTAGGGGTCCGGACCAGAGCCTAATGGTGCAGAGCTTGCCGTCTTCTGATTCCAGAGTTATAAACGATTTTCCCTGGAAATGTTTAATGAGGAGAGCAAGTCGTCTGGTTCTTGCGCAGGAGTGGCAGTGACGTCACAAGGACGCCGAGTTCTTATTGGCGGATTAAAAAAAATAGTGGGTGGACCTCGAGGCATCTACAGCATTCGGGTCTACCCACTATGTTTTTCAATCAGCCAATCAGAGAACTCGGCGTCATTCTGACGTCGCCACAATTCCCGAGCAAGAAGCAGACGACTTGGTCTCCGCATAAGAAAATGGTGGCCGACGAAGCCCATTATACATGGAGATGATTGGCACCAACTACCAGAAAAAGAAATAAATTTCTTATTAAAAAGTTTAAAAAAAAATCGTGTGTAACTATAATGAACCAAGTAACGGCATGATTTCTTACCCTTCGGCATGTGGTCCGGCCGGACCACGATACCTTTCGGTAACGATTAAGTGTTTGACCTTGCGTAGTTTATTTTCGCGGCTAAAAATAATGCGGTACTCTTTTTTTTTTTTCACATAGTCGAAATACATGTCTTATTTCATACATACTCGCTATGTATGGCGTGTTGCGACACTAGAAACCAAACTTGTTGCGCTTTATTTTTTTTTGTTGACGGAGTAAGTAGTATTTTATTTCACGGACCACGATGCCGTCATTACCTAACCGGATATGGCGACGACACAATGGCGTAATTGCACCAAGTTGTAGCAGACTACATATTGCAGATGCGAATCTTCCACAACCCCACCGCTTGGAGTGACGTCAGACGCTTTAGTCTGACAAATGACGTTTCCTGGGACGAACACTACCCACGTCCGCTGGGTGCAAACTCGTTTTCTCTGATATATGTCTGTCTAAGAGACGCCCGTGCAACGTAACACCGGCACCATAATTATCATAATAATTGTACTACGTATCACTATAACCACTACTGCAATCACCGACATCATCATCCTGGTCGTCGTCATCACTGACATCATAATCGTCGTCACTCCCCTTTCCAAATTTTAACAATAGCGATAGGTGCGGGGCACACCATACACTCGTGCCTTTTGGGGAAACACAGTAGTCTCATGTGAGACGACCTTAATTAATTAACGAGCAGTAGTTCTTCAAACGGCGGCACGCATCGCTTCTCCGCGCTCCTCTTGGTGTTCTGAGGCGAATGAACTCGAAAACAACACAGCTTGCTCCGCCCCCCCCCCCCCCCCCCCCCCGCTCCCCCCGAAAACGAAACCGAATTACCCGTTCATTACAGAGTGCAGTTCACTTCAAAGGCGCCTCGCGGACGCATCTGAGTCTTGTCTAGCGAAGAACATTCCGTGAGGTGACTTGAGATTTGGGTCAAAGCGTGCGCACCTGCCTTGTTCTCAGGTAACACCTGTTGGGTTAGTGAAATTGTTATGGTTGCCAAAATTCTTCGCGACTCAGCACTGCGATGGGGTTATTGCAGAAAAGTGGCACGAGGCAGTTTTTAAAAGTCGCGTCACGAGGGTCTTGCATCTTAGGTCCAAAATTAAGGAATGGTTGAAGGGCCCTCTGGTGCGAAAGTACCCTGCAGCCACATGAGGGTTGTAGCCAGGAGTTTTCTTTCGAGGGGGGCTGAGGTGGCTGGGATGTTTACGACTTGGAGTGCGGAGAAAGCTGAAGCCCCATAAGCCGCCCCCCCCCTCCCGGCTACGGCACTGCAGTAGCCAGCAGTAGACGGCAAGGAGCACGAGATTATTACCGAACTCCGACAACGCTTCGGCGCCTGGTGCAGCTCGAGCACGCACGCGCAGTCAAAGCACGTGGGCAGCCATGCAGCGCGTGCTGGGGGTTGAGCGTTCGAAAGACACGCCCTGCCGCTCTCACTCTGTCAGTCAGTATAGCGGGAAAACATAGAAAGTGCGTAGGCCGAAAGAGCTCTGAGGTTACCGGAGTAAAGGTCAGCGGGACGGCCGCACTATGTGACTGTTTAAAGGGCAATGAAGTCGAAATTAACGTTAGTTAAATGAGTTGAAATGCAATTACCTGACGCGTACAGTTAATATCTTTTTGCAGATATATTTATAACCTGCATGGGGAAGCCTCACCTTCGGTTTACCGCAGAGAAATGTCATCACTACGCCACTCAGTACGAAGGCGTACCAGCATTCTGACGTCACATAAAGGGGAGGGGCGTCCGTAAGCGCCCTTTATCGGAAGAGACCTATCTCACCAGGAGTTGCGCGACGCCACCGCTGCCGTGGTGCATTCTGGTACCGGTAATTCTCCCCAGCTTTCCGGCCGCGTCAATGCGTTTGGCCGGCGTTTGTAAATTTTCTGGGTAGCACGAGACTTTTCATCGGATGCTTACTCGCTGCTTTCAGTAGGTAACTTCACCTGTTCTGTGCCTGGGTGCTACAATAACAGCACCAGACAAACAGGCGACGAATTTTATGTCTTCCCCAACGAAAGCAGCCCCCGAAAAGAGTGGCTAAGAAAGGCAAAGAAAGCCGCACACAGCGGCAGGAAAAAGAGCCTTTCTAGATGTGTTTTGCGATTTGCTTCATAATTTATATGTGGTACATTGCAAGTTAGCTAAGGAGTGTAAGATTGCAGGGCTTGATACATAGTAGGGCTTGCTGAATTGCTCTGTGCGTTGGAATTTCCCTGCGCACTCGCTCCGTAGCTGTCTATCCGTTGATCTATTTAAATCGGGGCCTTCGCACTGCTTAGCGGCGGCCATATCTAATACACCTTTTGCCCAATGTATTTTGGTGGTTATCACTGTTATTGCGACGACACGTTTCAAGCAGAACTGTGCTTCAAAAGGTCAGGGCAGTCACTAAAGAAAGAGCAGGAATTCCTGATATGCATCACTTGAAATAAATCGACTTTCTCGAAACGTTCCCACGTGCCACTTGTTTTTTCCATTATCTGGTAGCGTCGGCTGAGTCTGGACGTAAGCTTAAGCAAATAATAGTACGTACAGTTCATTACGAAAAAAACAAAAACAAAACAAAAACACGAAAAAACCATTGCTTTAGTGAAACGCAGTTTTAGGGCCACATCATGTATAGCAGCAACGTGCCAGCGTGTTCTAGCTCGCCGTAAGAGATGACAAGAATTCGGTGGCAAGCGACATGAAGCTCTTAAGATTTGAGCAGCGCCCCTGGCTGGAAAATTGTGATATTTTGACGTTGCGTTTTCGTTGTGCGTCGCGTTGCATCCTCTGAAACGCTGCGTTAGAGCATCGTTATTAGACCGTTTTAGTATAGCGTTGCTGAATCTTACGTACGCAATACGCAATAGTATAGCGTACGCTAAAAATGACCTGCTGGGACCGAATTTAGTTGTGCGTTACGTTTTTGAGTGAACACCGCGCATGATCTTGGTCAAATTTGCTAGATCCGTAGAATTCCGCGTGCTTATAGCGCAACCATGCTGCTGGAAAGAAATATTGAAAAAGAAAGAGTATTTCAGATTAAACCAAGCCACAGCTGCCTCGTCAAGCGCGCTTTTCTGCGGGGTACTGAGGCTACGAGTACGAGTGCGTAGCCAAATTCGATCACGGAGCCTCCGTCAGTCGTCCCGTGGAAACGGCACCTTTTATCAATGCTATCGCGGAATGAAACTCACGACCCTGATGTCCAGTGCATAGCGAGAACTTCGGCGATTTCTTTTAGAGTCGTTCGTCCGTCGGCGATGAACTGTGGGAATAGGCTTAGCGTTGAGCAGGTCGCAGCGTCGACGCACATTGCGAGCGGCGAACATTTTCACTGTGCACTCCTTCAGCTGCAGGGCGATCTGATTCGACCGCGGTAGGTCCCAGAAAGAATCGCCGAGCTGAACACCACGCAATTTCATGTAACACAGAACTTTGAAAACACCACATCGCCCTTGCTGCGCCAGTCGAGGCAACCGCCATCTTGAAACTGGCGCTCTCGTTGGGTCCGAGACATCCGAGATCTCTCGAGAGCGTCCCGCAAGGCCCGCTAGCCAGCAACGCGAAATCCCCAGCGTTGCGTGCGTACGCAATATGCTAGCCCTTCTATTGCGTTCTGCGCATGCGCACTCACAACCCGAAATGTCCTTGCGTACGCAAAGCTATAGCGTACGGACCACTAAAACTGTCTAGTGACGCTGAAAGACGCTCCGTGGGTCGTGCACGATGGGACGCTGGGGCGCCGCTTATACGTCAGCATTAAATGATCGCGTCTCGCGGACGCTAGCAGAGGTACTCCTTCTATAGTCGCCTCTCCTGGACGCTACAGCGCCCCCTGGCCGAAAACGACTGGCACAGTAAGCATAAGTATGTGATTCAGCGTTTATGTGCAAGTGTCTGAGCCAGCATTTAAAGGGACGCTGAACCGAAAGTTCAATTTCGTAAAATAAGGCCGCAGAAGCGTTGAACGGGTCGCTACGAACTCTAAGACTTCACTCATACATCGATATCTCAAACCATAGCCTCCTATATACTGACAAAGCCTCCTTTACAGAAAATGTATAACTGACCAGATCTGAAGATTTCAGTATGACACATATAAAAATTGGCCACATGTACACCTTTCAAAAAAACGCTCCTAGGCCGTCGCCATGTTGCTGATGCTGACGCGGCTGGTGCGACTCTCGCGCCCTCTATCAGCTAGAAATTTTCTGCCACTCTCTTGGGCTGTAAAGGCCCGCTCAGCGCGGTTCTCTACCCACTTTTTTTTCGGTTTTGTATTCGACGTTTTTTTGCCTCTCTTGAAAGTTTCCATTT